ATTTTCTTTTCTTTGTAAGAGATCCGAAATGTGCGCTGGGCTCTCAATGTGTGTGGCCTCCAAACAGAAACAAGCTTGCACTGTTTTATTTCAGTTTTGCTTCATTTCTTCCCAAACAATCTCTCACTGCTAATCTACCAGGCCTTTTTTTTTTTTTAGCATGAAGGGGAAAAAAAAATCAAAGACATTATTAACTCCTTATGCACAATCATAAAAGCTGAATGGATATTGTTTGGCATCAATATGCATGAATTTATTTTTCATTACTTATTAATGGGGCATAAGGGGGTATATATTTCCATAAATAATTCTCGAAAATAACACTGAAATGCTAACATTTTAAATTTATGTAGTAAATTTATGTGGTTATGAACATAGTTTTTAATGGCAACATGTATGGCAACACTGTTTCTGAAAATTTTAACTAATGTATTAGAATTCTACTGCTGAGCTACATACTACCTAAAGTTGGTATAGAATCAACCAGACTTAAAGGTTAGTTAGAATCAAACATATCCATTCATGCTCCAAAAGAAGGCTGCAGAATGGTCTCCCTTACTTGTAGACTATAAAGAATATCAAAATACACTTTCTCCATAATTGTCCCAGAAAAAAAAAGAACTGATTAAACTCGAAGTTTTTGTTCGTGTGTGAACAGATGCAAAATATTAAGCTAATTATAAAAAAGCTGATGAGTATGATTATACACATTAATGGTTATCATGTCATAAGGAGGCACCAATTTCTTGAACTACTTGGGATGTTCCACTCCCACCAGAGAGAGAGAGAGAGAGAGAGAGAGGGAAACTAGTTCTAATATATCAGGACCAGGAGAATACCTGGTGTCATTAGTGTGATTCTTCAGTGCTCTAGCTGACAAAACAGCACTATTATACAACATTAACAGAGGTAACACATACTAAATGAGAAGTCAGTACAGCTCCAGGGGGGTTTAGACAACTCCCAGGGGAACTGGCTGAACTACCATGAGATACTAGTGAGCAGGTGCTTCAGGGTGTGCTAGGCACTCAGTAGCAAACCTCAGTTCGGGAATCTAATAGTCCACTAAGGACCTATGGTTCCTATCATTTTTATCATTAGAAAATTAAAGGAGACCATTGTGGCCAGTGGCCCCCAAGGTCCTATTTTGCAAGGGTGGGTTTGCAGTCAATGAGACCAATGCCTTTGAGGAGCTGGGTGTGCTAATTATGAAGTACATCTTTGACAAAAAAGAAAAAAAAAAAAGTATTGGAGATGATCCAGGGGTTGGAGGGGCATGTGCCCTTGAGCAAACGCCACAAGAACTTTTAAGTCTGTTCTTGAAAAGGTAAACTTTCTTCCCTTAGGCTTTCATTCATTGATACACAGATAAGATTGATGGATCTTTCCAGGCTAGTAATAATATTGTGGGGAGGAGGGCCATGGAGGGAAGGATGTCATGTAGCAACACACAATGATAATTCAAAACATTCTGGAAGGCTTAACAGCAAAATCACTTGTCAGCTTTTCACTAACCAAATCTCACCCTTCTGCAGGCAGTTATTGAGAACGGGAGTGTGGCTGTGTTGGGGAAGAGGCATACAAGGAACCAAGAGAAAGGATTCTATGAAATGGTAGGTAAATAGCCAAAATAGATTTAAACCCAACAGAACTGAACAATCTGGCAAAATCAAAATCACCAAGTCATATTTATTAGGCAACAAGGACCATGACATCAAATTCTCTTGTTTCTTGCAATCCAATGGCTGCTGGTTTCCTGAGCATAAGACAAATTAATAGAAGATGTCCTATGTATATTTCTACATATTTCCATGTTCTGCAGCCCAGCACAGGTCAACTTCGGTGCCAGGCAAAATATGGCTCAAAGGATGTCAGGAGAATGTCAATTCCCATATTTACAGCTTATCAAACAACTTCAATAACTATTTAAAAATGCACTGAATTTAATTTCAGTGATGCACCCGGTGATACACCTTTCATCTAAAGTCTCTCAGATGCAGTTTCTGATCTTAATCACAGTAAATCTCCAATAGTAGGTCAAATTCAGGTGGCAGGGCCCTTCTGAGTCAAGAGGATGGATGGTAATTACTACAGACCCTACGATGCTTTATCTCATTTCAAGGCTCATGAACAGGATATACTCTCACAGATAAAAATACAGCTGTCAGTGAATCTTCTGTTAGTTAAGCTGGAGTGAGTGAATGGTATCATCAACTCAGCATTCAAGTATTTATTAAGAACCTCTAATGTGCCCCAGAACTGAGCACAACACTATAAATTTCCTGTGTTTTTATCTTTACGTATTTTATTTAATCCACACAACTCCGTGAGTTATACAACTAGCTAAGCCATGCAGTCATAAAATTAGAAAAATACAACCCTTGATGTTGGCATATATATATATATTTTAGCTTTCATGTCTTATTCTGTAGCAGGATGATTGTTAGTTATACATATTTAAAGTAATATAATGGGAAGAAGAGAGTTTATTTAAAATATAAGTATCTTCTCAGTTTCAAGTTTTTTTAAAAATTTTTTTAAGTTTATTTATTTTTGACAGAGACAGAATGTGAACATGAGCTGGGGAGGGGCAGAGAGAAAGAGAGGGAGACACAGAATCCAAAGCAGGCCTCAGGCTCTGAGCTGTCAGCACTGAGCCTGACACGGGGCTCGAACTCACGAGCTGCAAGATCTGACCTGGGCCGAAGTCAGACGCTTAACCGACTGAGCCACCCAGGCGCACCGGTTTCAAGTTTTATTTTGTCACAGATTAGGGATAAAAAAAAACCTTTGCTGTGTTGTAACACCCATCATTACGTTTTTGAGTGAAACTTAATTGTTTCATCTTTATATATTTAAGAACACTACATATGCTACCTACACACACTGAAGATGTGGACTGTACAACTTTGTGAAAGTATAGTCCTAGCTCCCTCTGCCATCTCAGACTTAAAAAATTTTAACTTCATAAATTCTCTAAAGTAAGACACTGTGAAAGTGTGTTAAACAGATTCTTAGTGGCTTTATTCAAACAAATCATCACAATATCAATAGTGGTTGTTGAAAACAGTATCGATAGATACCGAGTGGTTTTTGAAAATGCTCATTCTTGTCTACTATTAACATTCCTCATTTCTAGATAGAAGTCTTCAATTTTAATAAATTTAAAGAAAAATACTAAATTATTAAAGTAAGAGACGTTTTGGAAATTAACTAAAAATGGTAGAGACCCTATACTGGCAAAAAGTATTTCATCATGGAACAGAGGTGTGGATATCTTAAATAATCTATATAAGGTAACTGATCAAGATTCACAATTTATTTATGACATATAGTTTAGAGCTATCTCCCTTAATGTTGATTTTACACAATAAATTATTCTACTGTTACTAAATGAATAAAAGATCCTTTTCAAACTTCAGTTTGAATTTATGGTTTCTTTTACCTATATCTACAATAATATTTAAATTTATTAATCTAATCAAATCCTTAATGTTCCACAGACTTGAATTTGGGCAACCGAAAAAAGAAAGTTCTACTTAACATTACAATAAGAATATAACATATAAAGTTTAATATTGATTCCATATTTTCTAATTGGCTTCATGAACTGTTAGCCTGCCATGAGCATTGTTCTTATATCCAGTAAGAACACAGATGTTAATGCATGTAACCCACATTATGTTATGTTCCCAGAGTGCCTGCTGATTTGTTAAGTCTCCTGTCAAAAGTATTGAAGATATCAATTTTTATGTTATTTTAAGTGGTGATATTATTGATTATATTTAAAATGTATACTAGGTGACATCATCATATTTGTAAGAGTACTTCAGAATTACTATAAGTAATGTGATAAAAATAGTAAAAGCATGTTTAATATTTCTGTTGTGCAGCAAATAGATATGAATGTTTGAAATAATATGTAAAGGATACAAATCGCCAGGATATAACTAAAACTATAGTAACAAAGACCAAATAGGGGTCTTACGTTCCAGTGAAAACTTCAGAACTTCTTTTTTGAAACATGAACAGCCACAAGTATTATTTAAGCAGGATAAATATTAGCATAAGTAGGATAATAGAGATGACTACTTTTTAAAGTATATTTTACTAAAACACTGATTTTAGAAAGAGCTAGTAAGTTTACTTCTCTCGATAAAAAGAAAAATATGATGTACAAAATGTTGTGTACATGTTCATAAACCACACACATAAAAAATAAATTTTTGGCAGGTCCAGAAAAGGAAAGATGCCACCTTAATGGGGGAGAAAAAGTAAAACATCACTGAAGAAAATGGAATTTTAGGGCAGTTACAGACATGAATTTAGCTAAAATGGTATTAATATCAAACAGTGCTGGCTTTCTAGGTCTGCAATGTATTCATAACAAATATATAAATGAATTTGAAAATTAGAACTGTTAGAATCCCGTGTAAGCTTCAAAATTTATCTCTTTAAAGTAAGAGTAACATTTAGCAAAATGCAAAAGAGTATCACATAAGAAAGTTCTACAAAAATGCTAGAAAATAAAATTGTATTTTATTACTTAATATGACTCAAACTTGAAATTCAGGAAGACTTTATATAGTCAAATTTTGATGATTATCTAAATGGGAAGAGCAATAAATACACAGATTTTTCTATTTTTTTTTTTTCCAAGAGAAAATGCTATGTACTTATGCAACCTCCCACAAACAATGAATAGTGAGTTGCAGGGGAGTTGGGTAGGGGGTTTCTCCTCAAAGTTGTAAAAAAACATGTTTTATTTCATTACTCTGAAAAGGTATTTAACATGGCCAATGATTAACGATCTGTAGTGATGGAATTTAAGTTATTTGTGATAACTACAATGACGTTTATGGATAAAAAAATCAACGTAGGGAAAAGGTTTTGTTTTTTGTTTTTCCTGATTCTCCCCCCCCCCACCTTTTTTTTTTCTTTTTTTAAGGTAAGCAAATAACTGACCCAATTAAATCAGGGGATCTGTAAGTGGTACTTACTGGCATGACAATGTTGTAGTGGATGCAGAACCCCGGTTCAGAAGGAAAATATTCATCAGATACAAATCTTATCCTGATTTGATTTCCTTTAGAAATCTGTTTTCCTGGCACTGTACCAGAACCACACCAGCGTCCTAAAATAGTTCCATCACTGGGTTCTTCAACCTCTACAAAATCATACCTGCAAGAGACAAAGGCAAAAGAGACATAACATCACATGATCACAGCATGATTTGTTACTTTAGCAATTCAAATTCCATGTTCATGGATACAAGGCAGCTATCTATGGACCAGAGCCAGGAGTCCATTCCAAATTTAACTGGGTCAATATAATCAAATACTCCAAAGAAGAGGCACAATCGAAAACGCTTTCTCAATGTGGGCAAAATGACTCTTCTATTCTAAGCCCTCTAGTGCTGCTGGTGATGAACTCCAAATTCACTAAAAATAGCCATCTCAAGGCTTAAATATTTTGTAGGGAGCAACCATATCTGACATTCAACTTATGAATTATTCAATGTAATTTCCATTTGGACATGATAGTTTTACTCCAATTTTAAATGCTATTCTCATCGCCCATTACTTTCCGACAGTAACGCTTTCGCCCTAGTCAGACTCCTTGGCTCCCTTTCCTCATCTCTGAGGCAAGCTTCTCTACAGCCGCATCATTATATACACACCCTTCAAATCTCACTTTGTACCAGTCTGCCTCTGTGAGACCTTTCTGGGTGTTCTCAGCTCACCGTCATCTTTCTCTTTTTGATAAACACATATGTTCAATATTCATTATATGTATGCAAGTGATCCATTTTCATAGTCTGTTAAATCCCTGAAGAAAGGAAGGAATCAGTTTTTATATACTTCTAATTTGCACTGCAATGTACACAGTATCCTAAACATAAGGAATATGCAATATTTTTCCAACAAATGTTAATTTTGGTTTGAAAGGTTTAGATCAGTGGTACTCATCCGGAGCAGTGTTGCCTCTTAAGAAACATTCCAGAAATCTTAAGAGGCATTTTGGCTTATACTGAGACCAGGGGTGGGGATAGCACCGTGACACGTGGCAGGCACAGTCCAACAATGTTCAATAATGGAAAGTCCCAGAAGTGATTATTGGCCCCGTGTTCTCCATGCCTTTCAAACAGTTCACCGGATGTTTATGTAAGTGAAATTTTTGATGTAGTTCCTCTGAGTCTGGAAACTAATGCTGTCTCACATGTAAGCACAAATATGTTCTGCAGTTTTAGGTAAAACCAAATTTTCCAGAAATTTAACCATCAAATAAGTTGAAGAAAGTTTCTATGTTTTGGAACTTAGCAAGAATTACTATGTTGGAAAAAAACATATCATGAACAGAAACACTGCTTATACAATCTGTATTGCAATTAAACCAATTAAACATATACATATTCGTCTATATCTAGAACTGTCATATTCACAATGAATCTACTTAAAAGATGCAAATATCTACTTCCTTGCATTTTCTTCGCATACTTGTGCGTATGTATTTATGATTTTAAATCCATTATTTTCATAAAACTTACTTTGTTATTTTAGCTTTATATAGCACACATGCCATTATATTTATATTTCAAACAATTGTGTATATGAATAGATGATCACTTCTATGAACTTCCTTCGAGAATACTAAAGAGGACACTGCAAAAACTTTCTTAAAATGTAGGTCTGACACGGTTGAGAATCACGGGTAGGCGTTTTCAAAAATATAAATTCAGTAGATACTAGACAACAAAAATAATATGTTTTGTGCAGTACTGAATTTACAGAAGAAAAAATTATTGAAAATTATATACAGAGTATGTAATGGGCCAATTCTATTTATAAATCTTCTTCCTGAAGAAGTATCCAGAACTCGCTTATGACATGTAACTTAACTTGTTTCAGCTGCATTTTGCTTGGTCTTAAATTGAGGATGATGCTACTTAGCTCTCAGGGATACTTTGGGACAGGAGACGTCTGTGTACCTAAAACACCGTTGGCTCACAGCTGCCATTCAATAAAGCTGTCCTTCATCTCCATCCTGCATCCTGTACCCCCTCCTCCACATGAATTTTTAATATAACTGTGGGAGTCTGAAAGCAATAAATAAGAAAACTCAAATACAAAGGGGAGAACACCTGCTACATCACACGACAGTTCTCGGTCATCAATGACAAACGTGTAAACCGACCGGTGGAACTATTCTAGGAGTTTGGTATATATGTATGTGGTGGGACTGAAAAGTGGTGGGGTTAGGGGTTAGAGGACTTGGACAAAACAGACCTAAGTAGGGGCGCCTGGGTGTCTCAGTTGGTTAAATGTCCGACTTCAGCTCAGGTCATGATCTCGCCGTTGGGAGCTCAAGGATCACGTCGGGGGCATTGTGCTGACAGCTCAGAGCCTGGAACCTGCTTTGGATTCTGTGTCTCCCTCTCTCTGAACCTCCCCTGCTCTCTCACATGCTCTCTCTCTCTCAAAAATAAATAAACATTAAAAAAAAATTAGAAAAGAACAGACCTACGTAGTTATTTCAGATTTCCTGGGTATAAAAGTTGATAACTACCATTTTATATGAAAGGATAATTTTCATATCAAGATAGTTTACATGTGAAACAAAGCTTTTTTTGTATCTGTTTGTTCTATGCTTGGGAGGTTTTCCCCTAAACCTATCTAATGTAGGTTACCACCGTTGCTAGTTTGAAGAGAGCCAGATTTGAGACCTGGTCGATCATTCTGTAAGCATTTATGAAGTGCTCACTTGGTGCACAGTGTTCTGCTAGATTCTTAGGATTCAAAGATGAAACTATAGCTTCCTTGGGCTCAGGGCCCATAAAACACTTTGGTAAGTGCTCTAATGAGAGTTCGTAGGAAATACTGTGGAAGACTGGCAGAGTAGGAGTAATTCTATACAGTGAGATTAGGGTTGGTTTGCAAAGGAACATTTGGGCTGTCAATGAGCACTGACTGAGCGGGGGTGAAAGGAGGGGAAATGGAAATGCATTGTAGCGAGAAGGACAATGTGTAAGATGCAACAGAAGAAAGAAGGGCCCAGCACGGTGGGCTGGGAATAGAAGGTGGGGAACAAAGAAGCAGATGAAGATCAAGCTGGAAGAACAGGTGTAGGTGGGAAGGCCTTTGGGTAGAATATTTTGTAGGCATAATGTAGCAAACAGGGAAGTGCGGTTTTAGTAGTTCCTAGTAGTAAAAAGTAGTAGTAGTTTACTACTAGTAGTTCCTAGTAGTAAAAAGAAACAGATAGCTCTGTTTCTTTTTACAAATTTAAGTCAAGATTCTAAAGAGTGGAATGGCACAGAATATCTGGATTTCTGGCTGTTTTACATATTAAATTTGAAGATCTGGTAATACTAAGTATCATTAGCCCTAGGATGAGTCCATGGAGTTCAGATCTCTGGAATTGGTGTTGGCTCCAGAAGAGGAGGTGTCTTTAAATTTCCTGCCTTATCCCTAATGCCTGTGTGTCAGGAACATAGTACATACTGTATCAGTATTTGGCGGATGAAGGAATGAACACCAGGCCTTCATGCGTTCACTGCAACTGAGACTGGGACCAAGTGGAAAGACATGTTCTTTCTGTCTTTAAAGATCCCCATCTACTTTCAGGGGCGCCTGGATGGCTCAGTGGGTTGAGCGTCTGACTTTGGCTCAGGTCATGATCTCATGGTTCTTGAGTTCAAGCCCCACATCGGGCTCTGTGCTGACAGCTCAGAGCCTGGAGCCTGCTTCGGATTCTGTGTCTCCCTCTCTCTCTGCCCCTAACCCACTCACATTATGTCTCTGTCTCTCTCAAAATTAAATAAACATTAAAAAAAAAAAAAAAAAAAAGATCCCCATCTACTTTCTTTGTTGTTGTTGTTGTTGTTGTTGTTGTTGTTGTTGTTGTTGTTGTTTAAATGCCCAGATCGTCGTTTGTTCACATTATTTGCCCATGTGGGCCTAAGAGGCACAGCCATGGAGATTTCAGTGAGGGAGTAACACTGGCAGGGAATAGAATCACCACTTCTCTGAGGAATGCCAGGAAATGATAACATTACAAGTGTGGGTAGAAAGAAGAGATCCTGTAACAAACACATCCTGAAAAGGAAGAGTCAGGGAACTTGGGGAAAGCCACTATGAGGGATGCCACAGAACTGAGCAAAGAGGGAAGGGAAATATCCACCAGAAACAGAAGAGATCCACAGTGCTGATGTACCAATGCCAAAGAAAGGTCAAAGACACGAAAAACCAAACAGTATCCCTTGGGTTTGGCAATTACGAAGTCATTTCAATAAACTGGTTGGGCAGAACAGAAACTGTCAAAAATGTACTTCAGTCCATTTTCAAAATTATCTAATAGAAGCATTGTATGAGAAAAGATCATATGCAAGAAAACTGAAACAATTCATGTTAACTATTTTACTATTACACACTTTTCTTATTGTTCGAAAATAAACACTAGTACGTATTGATGTGATTTGTAAGTTCTGTAGAAGTATTTAAAAGGAGTTTTTAGCCACACAGAAATACCTGGATTATACATGTTAAGAACTTATTAAGGAACGATTAAAATTAAACTTGGCTTTATCTTAGATCCTGAAACAAAAATCACTGTCCTGCAAATAAGAGAAGTACATCATGACTTTCTCCATGAAGATTTTCTACTGAATTTGATGCCATTAAAAAAAAAAAAAATCAATCTTTATAATCTTTATAACAATTTCTGGATTTGCAGTTAGACAGCTGGCATTAATTCTTACATGCTCATACATGCTCACCACGTAAATGTGGTGCACACATTTACCACAGTGCTTTAAAAATCTACATAATTTTGCATTCCATGAAGGTTAAATGAAATGGACATCTAAAAAAGTACTGTTTTGTGTGTGTGTGTGTGTGTGTGTGTGTGTGTATAAAACAGCAGAATCGAACATATGCTACTAATTGTTTCACAGTAAACTTTTAAGATTTTTTTCACAAGTGGTGTCCTATGACAATATAATTCTATTGTTCACCCAATATTCCACCATCAATTTTTATGGTCATACTCGACAGCTGTTTAGCTGTGTATGGAGGTGAAAAATACCAATACCATCATTATTTACCAAGGCTTAGTTTTCTCTCTTGAAACTGTAAATCCGCTTGCTAAAGGATATGGTTACAAAAATAGCATTTTTTTAAAAA